AGTTGTTCTATTACCCCTTGCTGATATTTCCTTTAGGCGTAGTAACTTCTTATGAAGACTCTCAAGCTTTGTTTCTGAGGATCTAGATTTGCAAAAGGCTCTGATTATAGATTGAATATTTAGCTTGCACATATCCCAGTCTTCTGGTGTTGAAGGGTCCTTTAACTCCTCTAATACCTCTTAGCGAAGCCTTTTATTTTGGAAGCTTCTAGAATCGAACTCCCAGGTAGTGTTTCTTTTTGTTGTCAGTTTTTTTGATAGTAAACATTCAACTAACAGATGATCTGAGTTCCCAAAGCGGGTAGTAATATTGTTAATAAGGTATCTATGGTTACTACCTACAAATATATAGTCTATACACGTGCCCATTGTTCTGCCATTGCTGGTGTTTTGGAAGTAAGTTAGGAAAGGGCTTTCTCTTGCCCATTCATTTGCATTGTAGTAGCTTCTCATTTTTTCTATAAGAAGTTTCCTCGTAGGGTCCTCTTGTACTGGGGCTAGGCTCACCCTGTTTATATCTGGGTGAATATTTGTATTAAAGTCACTAGCCACTATTTCGATACATGTTTCATCTTCTTCAAGCACCCAATTATCGAAGAATCTTTTCCTGTCTTCTTGGTTGGGCAGCGCATATATGTTAGTTACTTTGTATTGGCTTCCTTGGTGTTGAAATTTTGCTATCATTATTTTATCTTCGTATAATATAGTTTTATCTGTAAATTTTATCTTGTTATTTCTTGCCAAAATAGCTATCTTATTAGACCAAAATGAGTCGTATTGCCATTGTTCATGTAAAAACTTTTTTGTTCTATCATCTCTTAGATTTGTTTCTTGTAGCATAATAATATCTATGTTGTATGATTTGATGAGCGTAAGAGTTTTTTGTCTTTTCCTTATATCAATTAGACCTTTTACGTTGAGTGTGGCTATTTTTAGTTCTTTAATTGTTAACATGATTATGTAAAAGGTTGTATTTCCCTTGTTTAGGATTTGGGAAGGGGTCCCTGTCCCCTCTGGATTCCATAAGGGGCATTTCTTGCATTGCCTATTGCATTCGATGTGCTGCCTTTCTTTTTTTGGCTGTTCGTTTTTCTGTACGATACCGGGATAAAGTCATCCTCAACCATATGGTTCATGGTGGCTGCAGGGTTACTCAATAAATCTGCATGCGGGCGTCCCTTATCATTAGTATTGGGATTGCTAGAATGTGAGTCATAGCCTAAAATAGTAATTTCGTCTCTGGGCACTATAATATCTGGGGGAATATTGCCTTTCTCTCTTGTTTCTGTTTCTTTTGTGGGCTCAGGGGTTTCTATTTTTTTGTGAGCTCGGAGGTTTGTTTTCTCTCATGGATTTTCGCCTTTTCTTTCATTGCTACCTTGGAGACTTCTTGTATTTCTGTGGATTCAGTTTCCATATCTGGTAAGAGT